ACTCAATAGGAAATAAAGAAAAGTAGTAAATAGTTATGAGTCTGAATTGTTCCTGATGAAAAGAATGATCGAAAGGAATTGTATTGAATCTATTTAGACAAAAGAATGCTTGAAATAGGACTACTCTATAAGAATGTTGAACTAATCAGTTATTTGTAGTGATCTTAGGAAGTAGAAAAGCGAAAATAAGTAAAAGTTGCAGAGCAAATCAGAAACTAACGTTATCGCACGAAAATGGACAAATGATGTGAAGCCTGTGCACCGAATGCAATTCAAAGCGGATAAAACCATGAATATTAGATTCAGCAATGCAGCCTCACTCAAACGCACAGACGCAGAAAGCAGGCAAGAAAAGCATGCAAATTTGAAAAGCCAACAAATGAGGCTTCAATGGTGCAACAGAATTGTTCGAACATCAAACGCACCTTCCTGGTTATCGATTTTATGCATTTTCTTGTACATATTCCTGTACCATAGTGACATTTCGTCTTTCTGCGAGGAGGGACCGGCCTGGAATCGGTCGAACATCGAGTCGCCTGTGGCTGGATGGGCGGGACCGGCGTACTCTGATCCGCTTAAGAGACTGTCCCTGCTCTCGAGACGTATCTCCGTGTCGGAAGTGCTCGGAGGAACCGCGGACGATGGTGAGTGATCGTCAATGACTTCTGGAGCTGTTAAGAAGGAGGCAGTCGACTGGCCATTGTCCGACGACGATGGGTGTCCATCCACCCTGGACAAGTCAGTTGGCGCCCGCTCATCTCGCACATCGTAGCCACTGTCGCTGGTGACGTTCGAGACATTAGAAAGAGGCAACGATCTGTTCAGTGATGATAGAATTTCCGTGAAGGAGGAGGATAGATCGTCGTGAGTGGCGTTTCCAGAAAATGCGTGCCCTCGATCGTTTGGTGATGTCGACAGCGAGAATGGAGCTGGGCTTCGTGACTTCAGCAAGTCAGACATTCTGCAAAGAATGAAGTGTTATCTCTCTGATGGGGAATTTTCCAAGAATGGCATTGCAAAAAGCGTTGGCAGGGCCTCAACGAGCAGACATTTAGAGAAGCCGCATCTTGCTATTTGACTACAGCTTCACAGCAATGCTGCGCAAATAAAAACGCGATGATCTCTAGTTCCTCTCTACACTTTCTATCCTCTAACCAAGGAAAAGTAGAGTGAAAAGCTGTAGTAGTTTACACTCGTACACACATTGAGCGATCCATGCCATCACGCAATGTTTTTCTCAATTTGTACTTTATGAAGAAAATGCGCTGCTAGTCACTTGGAAAAAAAAA